CATAAAAAAAATTAAATCAGTTAAGTCATATACCATATGATATATTTCATAGCGTCAATTCAAACAGCCGACGGCGGGTGGTCGTGGCGCTCGCGCGCTTCCAACACGCCGCCAGCGAGCCGCTAACGAGCCGACAACGCGCCGGCAGCGAGCCGCCCACCAGGTGCAAGCGAAACAACATCGCATCGTATTCGTAACCCAGGCGTATTCTATCACAAATGCCAAGTATTGTAGTATTTTTTTTAAGGACGGAAATCATCGAATGACTGCTCCCGCCTTGGTGAGGGGGGAGGGAGTGTCAGACTCTTACCGACTAAAAACCACCCCGTTCCTTCTCCTGCACGTCAAGCCTGAGCCGCGGTTACCCATTAGGTTCTCCGCGACAAGTATTGTAGTATAGACTATACCCGTGGTGACAAAAAAAAATCCACACAGCGGGCGGCGCGCCCACCGCGCGCCAAAGCGTCAAATGTCCGTGCCACACGATGTGAGTCAGTCAGTCCGTCAGTGAAATTAGGTAAAGCTAGGTGCTCATTTCAAAATGTAGATTCGAATGGAGAAGAACGAGCAAGAAACTCCTATCGTTACTCTTTTTTAAAAAAGTATGTTCTACAATGTCTCTGATACATATTTCAATATTGTACGCATATGTAAGAACAATGCAAAGACATGCTTGACGCATTATACTAATAACTTACTAAAATAAAAAAAAATAAAGATCTTAAGTCTAACATGGTGCTCACACATGCATACTAACAATCCATAGAAATAGTGCTTCTATACAAGAAAAAGGAAGAATGCAATCGTTGTTTTAATTTTAATTATTTATAGGCTATGTTTGACAAGTTATCTACAAATCTTCATAAAGACTAACAAAGGAAGGTTAAAATTATCGTCAAAATAGTTCGTTGTACTCGTGTCATTGTTTTAGGGTTTTAATAAGGATGTTTAATAATGAGCTTAACTAGTAATATTTTCAGGTAGCGACTACTATCTGCCTTTCTTCCCTATGGTTGAGATAATTATATTTTAACAACATAGAACTATCTAATACACGTGAAGTCGTGACAATAATATTGTCTCAGGTATTATACCTCTAGAACGTATTTGATCTTTTGACTGCTTTGTTGATTGTGTGATACTACCTACCAATTTCTCCAAGTTTCTCCCAGACGAAAAAAATTTAATATTTTCGAAAATTCGCAGAATGCTAGATGCAGATGCTGATGCAGACAAGGTAGGTCTCAATTTTACAATATACTACTTAATATTTTAGTTATTTTGGTTACTTTAGACGTATAATCTTCCTAATCCCTGCATCCCCAACAACTCTCAAATTCCTAATCCCCAAAAGGCCGGTAACGCACTTATAACTCCTCTAGTATTCCAGATGTCCATGGGCGACGCCGATTGCTTACCATCAGGTGATCCGCCTGCTCGTTTACCGGCTTATGCCATAAGTAAAAATAATAATAATATGAAATCCATGCCATGCCGTGGAGTATCTTATATCAAGCTGCAGCAGTTGTTAGTCTTAATTCACAATTGTCATGGTTCTTGGATATTTCATATATGTAGTTTGTATTTCTATTGTTATACATATTATTGTACCTAAATAGAAACAAGCATAGTGTAGTTTGTAGTGTATAACCTATAGTTCTAGGTTTGCATAATTCAATGTATGGTATCTTACTCGTGTAGTTATTTAAATATCAAGCGTTATTAATAAAGGGTCAGTATTCAATCAGCAGTCAGAGTGTTTTACTCAATACAATCCTTACAATAGACAAAACAAAGAAGCTTACAAACCACGATTAAACTAAATCTGGTTATTGTTCAAATTACATGCGTCTAAGTAAATAAAGAAAAAAGAAACTAGTAGTGTCATCTTCGTATTGAATTTTAGATGAACTATTGATAAGTTTATGATGCTTGCAGGTCTCTTTATTATTTTATTTACGTACTGTACGACGATCATGGCTAAAAAAATAGTACGACTCGTACTGCAGGGCACAGGCCTCCCTACCCTCCTTCCACTCGTCTCTTCTTATAGCTTTCTGTGGCCAATCCTTTTTATAAGCGTCAAGTTCTTACCGCCATCTCTTTCTGCGCCTACCGCAACGTCTTTTTTTTATAATAACTCGGTAGAAATCCTCATAGACTTCCCACGCCGTGGGAACGACGGGGGGGCGTGCCGAACTCTTACCGGCTAAAACCACCGCAGTGTTCCTCCTCTGCCTCTGACCGTGACCCGGGACGCCCTTGCGGATTCACCGCACCCGGTAGGCCTCGACCTACCACTACATTGTGGCAGGTCCCACCACGTAACAGCCCTCAAAAGCTGCGATTTCCTTCCTCAAGTGGCGCGCGTGAACACACCGCTAACGCCTACTCCCGCCTATGTCTATTGGCTTTGAGTGGCCTCACTCAGTAGTAATATGTTGCAGGTCTCTTACTTTTATTTTTTCCAAAATTATATTACTTCTTGCATTATAATAAAATATTCGTTATGTTTTTATTTTCAGCAATGAAGGCAAAATATCATTAAGGAATGACGTCAAATAAAAAAGTGATATAAAAACAAACAGAATAATTTAATTTATTGCACTTCCCACGCTTTAACAATCACACAATACTTACATTTTTTAATATATTAAGATTACTATTATCACAAAATTGCATTGCTTTTTATTGAACTAACTTACAAACTATACCTTATCTAATAAAACTTTTATTTTACAAAAAAATACCTTATTGTATCTGATTTAAGAATCAAAATCGGTCCAGCAACAAACGTAGTATACCTACAAACACACTTCGACATCAAATAATCCATCAGAAATATAAACGAATCATTATCATTACTACTGCAAAATACAAGTGTCAACCTTATTCGAAAGTTCTTAGGGTTTATTTTATATATCCCGCTTTAGTTTTATTAATGTCTTGAAAAAGAGAGATGGTATTATACAAGAGACTAGCGACCTCTATTTTTCTCACCTAATAGTTTAGTATGTACTAAACTTTGTATATGTACAAAAAATACTCAGTTCTTATTGTTTTCTTTAAATGTTCAAGGGTTACGGTTTAATGCTTTTTTCTGTGCTATTATTTTCGCATCCGAGGGTAGAAGTAGACCTACCAAACCTCCACCTGAAACAAAAATGAATGGAAACTTAATAAAGTAATATTTTTCATTAATCACCTTACACACACGTGTACACGGATGGTTATAGTTGTTGCAAGTATTTCGGACTCTTTAGTAGTGCGCCAGGTACTACTGGAATCAATATTCTAATCTTTGTATTATATCCAATCTCTGCCAGTCACTCAACAGATGTTTCCATATAATCTAGCTTGAAAGTATCCGTAATATGAAGGTCTCTAAATTGGATAATGTTTGTCTAAATTGTGTGTTTTCCATAGCAAAAGGATATAACACATATAGCTTAACAGAACTCACGAAACAGATACCCATATCAAAACCACTTTTTGGAATGGTACTTTCCTCATCCACACAATCAACAAAGCAGTCAAACGATCAAATACCTTAATAGCTTTACTTTAAAACCTTTAATAGCTGAGACAATATTATTGCTACGGCTACATGTGTATTATACATATCTCTATGTTGTAAAGCAAGTTACTTACCAACAGCTACAGCTCCAAAAATATAGAACGCAGCTTCGCAGTCAGTGTCAAGCAGTTTCTTTAAAACATTAATACCAACGACAGCGCTGCCTCGACCTACCATCAATGTAAGACATACTGCCATGGCTCTGTTAAACATAGAAAATAATATTGAACATTCGCAATGCAGTGAAGGTAACGTAGAATACATTGGTAATTATTACACCTTCTCTTACTACGGAGCCAAAAACGAGACAACACATTTTGACTAATGCTCCTTGGTTCTGTTTTAAGTTAAATTTTCAGGTTTACAAAACGACATTGCTGCTGAATCTTTGTCAAATGTAAATTCCCTTAATAGGCGTTTTTGAGAACCTCGAGAAGAATTAAATCAACTGATAGAAAAGTCTGGTATATATAATTTACATAGTTTTATTTTTTATTAAACTATGAAACATTCAATGTTGCTTCTTGCCTCTACCGTATACCTATTCTTTTCTGCATAAGACTGGACAGGTCAGACTGGTAAGAAAATACCCACGGCATTAAGTGTGTTTATGTGTGGCTACTACACATCATTATCATTATCATCATCAACAGCCTATAAAAGAGCCCACTGCTGAGCGAAGCCTCTGGTCACACGGAGAAGGTTTGAGTATTAATCATTTGATTGTGCATGAAGCATTTAAAATTAAATAAAATAAAAATAAACATTATTATATCGTACCTGACATAAGTAGGAAAGACGTCGACGCAGAAGGAAGTTAGAAGACCAAACGCGAAGACTGCAGACAGGAAGACCATGAACAGTATGGCACTCAAAACCCAGAAGGGGCTGAAGTTGATAACTAATGCTGCTCCTCCTGCTATGACCTGAAAACAAATTAAATTGTTAGCTAGTTTTAACTTTATAACATAACATCACTCCTTTTATCCACGTCTCCGGAGGGGTAAGTAGAGGTGCACATTACGGCACTTAATGCCACTGTACAATGTAATACCCACTTTTCACTATTTATGTTATGAGTCCTATATATTAGGGGATGAGCCTATAGCCATATACCACAATTCCAGACTACGTGCTACTACCAAGAATTTCTTAAATCCCAATAATATTACTCCCGACCCGGGAATCGAACCAATAATGAATTCATATATTTTTACAGCTTTTATAGTATTCTGAAGTATCTTTTGGCCTTCTTAAAATTTTTTGACTTTAGATTCACCTGCATGCAAACAAAGAGTGTCTTCCTCCCGATGCAGTTGGAGATAGCGCTGGTGAAGATATTGCAGACACCGAGCACCATCACTATCCCGAACACCAGGATCATTGCTTGGCTGTTCATGGAACAGTCGTTAGTCTGAAAGTAGAAAAGAAAATGGTTAATATTGCGTATAACAATTACGAAATCGATGAGAAACAGGGTAAGAATTAACAAAATTTCCTATAATTTTTGGGATTAGTTACATTAAAGTCAGATTCAACTGAGCAGATAGACTATCGAAACTAGTACTTTAAAGCCAAGGATAAACTATTGCACTTACACCATCGCGTGAGGAGTCGTGGTGTTTGATGGCTCCTTGAGGAGCACGCGGATCGCGACACGCCGTACGCTATACGCCACCCGCAGGCCCGTGCTTACGGTGGCCGGACATCGTCGATTTAAGAAACCTACCCATTTTTTGATACACGGTTGGTTAAACAAACAGATAGACATTATAAGTACAATTACCTCTTGAACTGTTGAAGAGTTTGCAGAAAGTCTGATCATCTCACAGATGGTCAGGTGTCTTTCCCCAGCCACCACTGACGTCATAAATGCGTTCACTATGTAAGGTAACCACACGAAGAAGGCGTTCATTCTGGAAATAAATATAAACATCATCATCAATAAACCAAACTCATATCAGACAGAAAAAAAGAAGCAACAGATTTTTCTGAATAATGAATAGCCAAGGATAGAAAAATTAAGTCTCTTTTCAAACAAAAGAACGATGATAAGATGATACGGTATCAAAATCAGTTTTAAGTGTGGGAGAGCCATTCTTCGGCACAAATGGGCTCGACCGGAGTGACGGCCACACAGAAGACCGACTGAAACAACGCTTATATTAAGTGTTTGCGTGAGTGATCGCGTGAGTGAGGTTACCGGAGGCCTAATTAACCCCACTCTTCCCATTCCATGAACACCTAACAATTTTCAAATTCCTAATCCCCAAAAGGCCGGTAACGCACTTGTAACGCCTCTGGTGCTTTAGGTGTCCATGGGCGACGCCAATTGCTTACCATCAGGTGATCCGTCTGCTCGTTTACCGGCTTATGCCATAAAAAAAAGTTCATCCATTTATAAGCAACACAGACATACAAATACATAGACGTCAAACTTATAACTATTTATTATTGGTTTAAAAATACTTACGTAATATAAGAAATGACGTATAGGAAAGATAGAAGTAATGTGTTCTTCAGTAGTGGTGGTTTCACCATAGGAATGGTCTGTGCTGCGACTGATCCCCAGAATCCCTTGGTAAACGATGACGCTTGGCCTTCCTCCAATTCTAAAGCAGACACCTAAAAAAAACAAGTAAATTAATTCGAGAATATTGTTTAAATTCGGTATAGCGATGTCAATTATTCTGCATTAGACCAATATTTCAAAAGAACTACTAATCTAGAATGTATGAAGGATGGATGGAAGCAGGTTTACGAAACTTTATTTATTATTTACAGAGCGGACATGAATGGGAACATCGGTAGAGGACGCCCTAGACGGATATTTATCGACCAGATTGGCGATATATTAAAGAAGGGCCAAATTAAAAGTACGTACCCTTAACTGAAGACCATGCATGAAAGGAATGATGAGAGGTATGTAAGAATCGTAGCAATTGGCGTTACATTACATAGTCTCTGCGTACCCCATTTGTAAGAGATATGAGGTTATTTATGTACGTTATGTTTTTTTTTCGAAGTGTATGAGTAGGAACGGGTTGGTTGTTTTTTAGTCAGTAAGAGTCTGACACTCCCTTCCACCTCAACCAGGCGGGAGAAGCCATTCGATGGTTTTCCTCCTCCATATGTATGTATACAACTAGTAATCATGGGGCCAAATGACGACAGTACATTTAGGATTTTCAAATTTTCTAATGCTGATCCCTCACTTAGGTCAAATACTGGTCAAAATTGTCAGTTGACGTATTTTAATTAAACCCAAGGGACCGTAAAGGTATGATATTTAGGGCCGATGCCGATTCGGAGTCGCGGAGAACCTAACGGGTAACCGGGGCTCCGGCTCGACTTGCAGGAGAAGGAACGGGGTGGTTTTTAGTCAGTAAGAGAGTCTGACACTCCCTCCCACCTCACCCAGGCGGGAGAAGTCATTCGATGATTTTCCCTCCTTAAAAAAAATTAAGGTATGATGTTTGGCTCTTGCAGCCCATACCAGATAATATTTTCTGTTTACACGTCTGTAAAACATCGGTAGTCTTAGGAAAATCATCAATGACTTTTTTTTCCATTTAAAGGAAAATACAGGCGTAAGATTAATTTATAATAACGTTTAAAAAAGTTAATTAATTTACCAAGGGTTTGTGAATAAATAACTTGGCATGTCTTCGCAGATAGTTATATAAGTCAGAAAAGATGGATGAGTTCATGGTAAACTCCAAGGTTTTTTAAAAAAGGAAAATTCTTAAATACGTAGGTAGTAGATATTCATAATAGTATTTCTGTAATTGAAAGAATCAGTAAGTAATGTACCTACTCTCTGTGTAGGTACTTTTGACCACGTTTTCGGAGTAAAAAAGGGGTGTATTATTATGTTTTAAAAAGATTTAGAGGTATATTATAAACCTCTATCTTGAATTGAAACTAGTTAGAACACTGTACCCGAATCAGTAATTTTTTTAGTAATAAAATATATTATACTAGCTTCTGCCAGCGGCGTCCTTCGCGTTCTCGTGAGACAAAAAGTGTTTTATATGTTATTCCAGACAATGTTCTAAATTTCATCTCGATCCCTTCAGCCGTTTTGTCGTAAACGAGGAACAAACTAACTAACATTATAATATTGGTAGGACAACTTTCTACTTACTGTATATGTTTCAGCACTCTTCCCAGTATTAATAACGTACATCCGCTTGAGGACCTGCAAGGCATCTTCTTCTCTTCCAACACTGACCAGGTATTTAGGACTCTCATTGGCAAAGAAGCAGCCAACAGCACACAACGCACAAGGCACAGCAAAGATCAGGTTCAGCAGCCTCCAGGAGTTGAAGTAGATGTCCAGTACAGGAATGTAGAACGAGAAGGTCAGTGGTAGAACTGGTATCGCAATCACTGGAAAGATAAAATACAGTTTCAGCTTTGTCTTTTATCTATAATGTGAAGAATGAAGTTTTCGGTGCTATTCTAATAATCTAATAGTTATAATCATAAACAAAGCGACTGTTATGTTTTACGTGGGATAAAATCACACCGAAGATAAATCATCAGAAAACTGACATCAGTAATCATTTTATTTTAAAATCTGAGAGCAAACGAAGAAAAAATAATGATAAATTAAAAATTTGGTTTAAAATTTGGTGGTGGTGTCATGTCGCCATCCACCCAAAAGTTGCTGGCAGGTATCAATTTTAACTATCTTTTAGCTTTTAAATCTTTGTCGTAAGTTTCCATTTACAAACGTCCATAAGGTATACCCATGCTAATTTCAAACACAAAAGCATGCTTCAATTGAGGACTTGTCACTTAGTAGTATATGTGTCAATATTAGCATGCTCGGTTCGAGCGTGCTGGTGAATTAACAGACAATCCAATTTTAAAAATATTTGAGCATGCTCGATAAAACGCTTTAAGAATGCTATTTTAAAGCATGTCTAACAGTAGGGGGAGTCCGGGAGAGTTTATCCACCTTTGACTAAAATGCTTATAAATCACTTTATATTAACACAACACAATTTTCTACAAATGGTACACTAAGCAACATTATTAAGTTTTATTTTTTCCAAAGAAAATTTAATAAATCATTAATACTTTATAAGTAATTAACGATTTTTACCGAAATGAGATTTGGCTAATATATCCCGCCTGGGTGGGAGACTTGACCCGCCAAGAAGGGAGACATTACCCGGGTTTAAAACTAGGCAAAATAAAAATAACTAATTATAATTATATAAATAAATTTATTGAAAAAAACATAGCACATAATAAAACGTAGTAAATGAAAACAAGAGTTACATAGTTGAGTATCTTTGACATACGGGTAGTGAAGAATTAACTACTTATCTCACATCACAGTAAGTGTTTATAAACATTTATTATTAGAAAATCTTTCTAACATAGTTTATAACAATATAATTAAGAATTTTCTCAACCAACAGTTATTTTATAAAGAAAACAGTCTTTTTGGAGCAAATTATCTTAAACATTTAACAATATCTTATCAATATGGAGAAAAATGCTAACTTATATAGGCTAGGTATCTTTGTAGCAATCATAACAGTCTGAAACTATTCTATCTGTGTTAGAACTAAAAAAATAACTAAGGTACAAATAGTAAAACCCTAAAGGTAGGGCAGCAAAATAAAGAGACTTTCAAAACTAGGAACAAAAAAAACTCAAAACAAAAAAAATCTTCGAAAAAAAACTCATAATCATCAGTCTTCCTTTTTTAGATGGATCAATTAGGACAAATGAACTGTTCCTTATTTTCATTTTTGAACAGTCCAACGCATTTTTCATGGACATTTTTACCACAAAAAGCGCAGTCTCATATCCATAACTTCGTTTTCTCCAAAGATGAAACAATACCAATTATCGATATCATTTTGTACTTCATTCCATGAACTATCAGAGCTATCATCATATTTGGGTTTGTCTTGAAGGTCTGTCTCACTGGCACTTGACTGTAAAAGTTGTCTTTTTGCAGACTTTTTCATTGCTCTACCTTTTTGTTTCTGTTTAGTTATTTTCATTTTTTTTCTCAAACTCAGTTCAGTTTCTTCTTATAAATCCTCTAAACCAATCCATCCCTGCGCAATTGTTCGATGTCCATGAAGCTGGGACCTTTTTGGAATTACTGGTTGCTTTTTGGATACTTAGCTGAAATAATACAAAAAAAATAATGGTTGTCTGTAAAGTTCTAGGGAAACAGAGGGAGAGATTACCCTGGGTAAAGCCTCCCACCGTCGCTAGGGTAATATCTCCCACCCCACACCAAGCTGTCTGTTATTCAATTTCTAAAAAAAAACTATAATATTTAAGTAAAAACTGTGTGTTGTAAAGGATACAAGGATAATTACATTGTAGATATATATTCATGACACGCTGAAATCTATAAACAATAAGCAATAGCACCCAAATCTCGAAAATTGAAAAAAATTACTTACCGGGCACAAAAACCTGTTTTTTCTTGTTACTCGAAGAAGTATGGCAATTTGGCAATATCTAGTTATACAGAGATTCTATGATCAGTGGCTATTGTCTCCTCCCTGCTAAACTCTCCCGGACTCCCCCTACCTATACTTTGGTACTCCTACAGAAAATAGCAATATTGGTAAATCAACATGAAACCTACTGAAGACTACATGCATTCCGCTAGAATGTTCAAGAAGTAATGGTAATACCTGCCATAACTCCAATAGATATGAGGTAAGCACTGGTGCTCAGCAACACTAGGCCACTTCGTTTCTGAGAAGGCGTACACTCGCTCAGTAAAGTCATTGATAACGCCATAGACCCCGATACTCTGTGAAAAAAAGATTAATTTACGATTAATTGTGCATATATTATGACTAAGTAATTCGACAATCTCTACAATCAGAGATAGAATCTATTATATTCCTTGTATGTTTGATAATCCGTTCTTAGTGGCGTGGTTCCAGATCCATGGTGATTTTCTATACCTATTAGTTTCGACTGTATGCTAACTGACAGAAATTGAGCTAGTGATGACCGTGGTTTCTTAAGGTTTTGACTGCCAATACAAAACTGTTGAAGGCAAAGCCTCTGCTAACGTCATCGATCACCGGTTACCCATAGCGTTGAACGTGGAGCTAGCGCAATGATGGCTGCCTGGCAATGTAATGTATTAAAAATTTTGAATTAAACGTTAATTAAGATACTAACGAGCTAGAAGAGAGCAGTTTGAGTAAACTCAACACAATCCAGTTGGGTGACAGCGTGGCTGCTGTGCCAGCGAGGTATGTCAAGGTCATGGAGATGATGAGCACCTTCCGCCGACCTCTCGTGTCCGCCAGGTAGCCCCAAATGTGAGATGTGGTTATGATTCCTTGAACAAATGGTGCTTGTCAATAAAAACTAAAATGGCTTTATAAGGCCTAGCTGCACTACGGTTAAACTACATCTGTTTTCAACTGCATGGGTTTGTATCGTGGTGGCCTGGAAGATTAAGACCCCCACTTCTCTCAATGTGACTTTTTCCAAATTATATGCACTTTCTAAGATTATTCAGACACCACTGACAAACGGTGAGGGCATATAATTTCATATCATAAGTTTGTCATCGCCAACCCACATTGAGCAAGCGTGGTGATTAATGCTCAAACCTTCTCTTGTGCGAAGAGGCTTTGTCCAGCAATGAGCATTTATAGGCTGTTGACGAGTTTAGGAAATCGAAAAGTAACGACTACAAACACATGCGATATATACCAATACCATGACTGTGTTTAAAAAGATAAAATGCAAGAAAATCGTAGCGTAATAGTTACATTGGTTAATCGTGTTGAGAAAAAACGTAGTGCGGCCTAAGCTTAAATCAGAGCTCAAATATGTATGGAATAAATTTCCATTAATACTAGTAAAACGAACCAATCAAAGGAACGCTGGCCATAAGTCCCTGTTCTGTGCTGGTGGTGTGCAGCTCACAGACGCTGGCTGGCACTATGTAGGACACGGAGAAGATCTCGTACGTCATGCCCACGATGATACTGGCACACAGGATGAACAGGCACGCATTGTAACGACTGTACCCTGTCGCCAAAAATAAATTAAAAACATTAAATCATTAAACTGTCAAATACCAAGCGGTCACCGGTGACCGCAACCTATTGTTCTATAATTGTGTCTGCAAAACCGGTACTCGACGAGTTAAAATATAAGATAAGAATAATCTTTATTGTACACCTTAAAGCAATATAAACATAAATGTCGAGTTACATCCAAGAATAGTAGGGTACAAAGGCGGCCTTATCACTAAAAGCGATCTCTACCAGGCAACCTTTGGGTGAATGGAGCACTGAATGATATTGGAGGTGATTCTAGGCATACTCAGGTACTTACATCACCTACCTATACATACATATATATATATATACATACATACATACATACATATATTATTATGTTCGCGCATATCTCCAGAATTACATGACTAAATTTGATAATTCATATTGTGTTTTGTTTGTTATTATTTGAATAAGGTCTGTATAGCATACATGTTTGTATAAAGAAATATTGATATAGTTAACGGTAATATCTGGATATATGTAACACTGGACTAAGGTTATAGTGGAGTTGGCCAATAGTCACTGTTATAATAACAATTAAGTCTTAGTTAATTCGTTCCTTACTCTGTACTGTACCTGGCCCACAGGACCTTTAACTTTTACTTATCTTTTTTTTACTTATCTAAAAATCAGTAATGATTACGTATACAATTATCAAAGACAAAACATTTACAGTAACAACTGCGAGAATTTTAAGCGTTGTAAAGTACCTAAATAATAGTAAATATTAGATGTTGAACGTAGGTATGTTGAATTTTTATTACTGTAAATATTAATTTACCTTTTTGCAACTATACAAATATTAAACATTTTAAACAAAACATATTTTGCGTGGGAATACAACTAATTGCGTAACAATATAAAAATTTACGTTAGAGCAAATAAAATTGTTGGACGATCTCATTCACTGAACTATTGCAATTCCTGAAAATTCTCTCGTTGACCGAGTGGTCGCAAGTGCGACTGTCGGGCAAGGGATCTCGGGTTTGATTCCTGGGTCAGGCTAAGTATTACTGAGATTTTTTTTAAAGTAGTTCTGGAATGGTGCCCGGTATATGGCCATGGGACTCATAACATAAATAGTAGAAATTGGGTGTTACATTGTACAGTTGCATTAAGTGCCATTGTGTAATGTGCACCTCTGCCTACCCTTTCGGGGATAAAAGTGATGTTATGTAAATGTGTGAACTTTTAAATAGGTACTCCACGTGGGTACGTCATTCCTACAAACTACATGACAAGAAAAAGTATGTATGACACAAGACATAACTAAGCCTTCTCAAGGAGCTATCTAATATGTAACAAGTTAAATGATATATATGTAGGTACATATTATCACATATTTACATTGATACATAAAACTCTGCCAAGCATTTATGTACAATAAAGTAACGTACAATTAAGTCGCAATTCGTATTTGTTTATTTAAATTTTAAACTGCTTGATAAGTTATTACGAAATCCTCACTTTAGAGTATTTTTTTATTTGTAGATAGAAGTATATTACTATACTCACATAATAACCGTAATTTACACGATCTTTGTCCCTTGTAAAACAATTGTATTTTCATTATGAACTATACGGAATATGCATAACTGAGTCATAAATACAATGACCACTACAAAGCTGCTGATTAAGAAGAGACAGCACAAAAGTAAATAAGTGACTTCTTTACCACATAAAATTCCAAACACGCCTTGTATTTCCTGAAGGGGTATACCGTATATAAAATGTAGCACCCACTTTTACGAGTTCTACGATCCTATGTGATAAAGGGAGTTTAAGTGTGGGAGAGCCATGCTTCGACAAGAATGGCCCAGCTCGACCGAAGTTATCACTCCGGAGTTTTCTGCTCGGCGACCGCGCACGCTGCTCATGAGGAAGAACCCCTCTGAGGTTCGAAACTAGTAGAGCTTTTCTCAGTATATTCACGTGAGTAACCCGCGATTTTACTTAATTAATTTGTTAGTTACTTATGTCCGTCTGGTTGATTATTTAAAAACATTAGACACGTATTTTTTATTTTCTTACTATATATATATAGTTTCGTAGATACATAATATATTGATTTGAAATATCGGATGACGTCACTTTTGAGTACGACTTATACTCTAAAATGACGTAATATCAATAGGTAACCTAACTGACGGACTAATTAGATTTTTAATTTTCATACCCTGACAGGGTATTCAACAGTTCATTTGTCAGTAGGATCAATAGTAAATCTAGAAGTCATCCTAGAATGGTCACATATACATAATAATGAGTAAAAAATTGGATATTTGTAGATACTACAACTTTCATAAGACACACAATATCAATACATAGTATAAAACAAAGTCGCTTTCGCTGTATGTCCGTATGTATGCTTAGATCTTTAAAACTACGCAACGGATTTTGATGCGGTTTTTTTTAATAGATAGAGTGATTCTTAAGGAAGGTTTGTATGTATAATACATGCATATTGCACCCGTGCGAAGCTGGGGCGGGTCGCTAGTAAAGTATGTTAGAGTCCATCTGGTAATACCCTTTTATACACGGTGTAGTTTTGATACCGTGTCATTTTTCGGGGGCATGTAACAGAAGTCATAAAGGTTCAATGTAAGAGAAAGTTTCGGGCCAATAGTTAAAAATACGGCTATACCTAATAAATCGTTTAAGTTCGACAGTATTTCAGAATAAGCGACAGTAATGTTTCTTATTGGAGTTTTATGGAATTAGGAATAATATCAATTACGTGTTTGAGTTTGTGTGTGTTAAGCCGCGTTATACCTCTAAAGCTAGTTACAAGACGACGGCGTGTACTTCGCACTTACGGATTTCCGTAATTTCAGTAAAATGAAAAATATTTACCTACAACTTTTTTATTGACTCGGACTCAGAATCGAAATCAGAGTTACCTCCTAGAAAATGACGCGGATTTAAAACAACACCTTGTATATGATATTGTAGGTAATGTAATTATATATTTTTTGTTTTATTTTTCTATATACGTCAGTCAATATAAAAACATTGTATGATTCATGAATAATTTTACGATTTTATTTAAAAAACGAACTGTATCTGGCTGGCTGAAAAGTTTTAAGATAATTTTATTTTATATTTAAAAAAAAATAATATAATTATCTAATTATATTTAGTTTTGGTTTTATTATATTTAAGTTCGTTGATGTTAGTAAAAAAATAAGTTGGCCTGCTTTTTTTCGCATTTCAATGAATGCAGATCCATGTGAAAAATATCTAAATTATATATATCACCAGTTATGTTATAAGTCCATGCAACAAATGTGAGCCTACGATTGTGCTATTTTAAAGGATATGGCCGAGTGGTCGCAAGTGCGACTGCCGGGGTTTCAGGGTCGATTCCCGGGTCGGGCAAAGTATTACTGGGTTTTTAAAAATCTCAGTAGTAGCACGGAGTCTGGAAATGTGCCCAGTATATGGCAATAGGCTCACCCCCTATTACATGGGGCTCATAACATAAATAATAAAGTGTGTATTCCATTGTACAGTGGCATTAAGTGCCGTGTGAACCTCTGCCTACACCTTCGGGGATAAAAAGGCGTGATGTTATATGTTAATATATTTCTTTTATTTAAGAAGTGAATCTATTGTTGTTAGTTTTCTGACCGTAGCACAAAAATCCTACTCTCACGAATTAAAATTAAATTATTTCAATTTGTGCATAAAAATGTTCCAATTGTGTTCCGTGAAATCTTACAATCCCTGCACAAGCATTGTTTACGTGACTATTTTATTTTTACAGTTTAATTGCCGTGAAATTTCCACTTATTTTGTAAATACAAAGGTAATTCTGTTTGTTAGCTCTTTACGCTTTACCAATCTTCTTAAACTTATGTATAGGTACACATAAATAGGAATTTGAAAAAGACAGGATATTTTAAGTGGGCGAAGTTACCAGTAAAACTATTTATTGCATACATAATGTACACAACTACACATACATGTGGTAGGAAATACAATTTTAAGTAACAATTACGGAGCCTTTCGTGTCGGGCGCAGCAAAATTCAAAAAGAGATGAAAGGATATATAGCTTGAAATTCATATTGCAGTGTGTGTTATATGTTTAGTTCATCTCTATGTAAAATAAATACCAATGTAAATCTTTATAATATTTTAGGAGTAGATAAGTGCACCAAACGTAAATATCCGTTTGTCGAATGTTAGGTTGTCATGTTGTTTGTTAAATATTTTGTTTTGACGTTTAAAAGTGCCTTACTGGTCTAATTGAAATAAATTATTTCGACTTTGACTTTGACTTTGTTTTGTTTGATACTCAGTCACATGAAAACGGCTGAAGGGACTGGGATGAAATTTGGAACTGTGGTAAATCTACCTGTGGTCTGGAGTAATAGATAAGACTTTTTTTATAGCATAATCCGGTAAACTAGCAGGCGGATCACCTGATGGTAAGCAATCGGCGCCGCCCATGGACACTCGAAACACCAAGGCGTTACAAGTGCGTTAAAGGCCCTTTGGGAATTTGGAATTTGAGGTTTGTGGAGGATTCGGGGATGCGGGAGACTAGGGAGGGGAGTGATTGGGCCTCCGGTAACCTAACTCACACGACGAAACACAACGTAAGCGTTGTTTCACGTCGGTTTTCTGTGAGGCCGTGGTATCACTCCGGTCGAGCCGGCCCATTCGTGCCGAAGCATGACTCTCCCACACTTACACAACCTATATAACATTTGAGGAGTAAATAACACTTTTTACTTCAGTTTAGCTATTACATAATGATATTGATACAAAGAAACAAATATACATATTTTTACGTTATTTGTGTATTCGTCGTTATTTCTTTTCCTGCCACAGGCCCACAGGAAGAAATCCCAGTTGGAATGTGTAGGACCTATGTATTTTGTTCTCATATAGAGGTATGTGTTGTCCTTTATGTTATATGTGTGTACATAAACGATAAATAAATACATAGGGACACCTATGTAATTACAACATGTGCTCATAGAAGCTTATATATATCGTCATACTCAGTTATTATACAATAAAATCTTTATTATAGGTACACACTACACACACAGGTCATACTGATAACCTTCATTTTTGGTTAAAAATATAATATACTGTTACTTATATATAGTAATAGAATGGACTTTGTAATGTAATTTTATGACTATTTTCTCCTATTTGGAGCTATATAATATAAAGTCAAAGTTAAAATAATTTATTTCAATTTATTTTAATTAGACCACGAAGGCACTTTTGAAAGTCAACTAGAAAAATTTAGAAGTGAAGCTAGTTGCTCATTCCAAAGTGAGTGAAGATTCCTATGGAGAAGAACGAGCAAGAAACTCCATAGGTTACTCTTTTTCAATCAGGTTCACAATACAATTCTCTAGTTACATAGTTTTGTTGGTTCAGTACTTCCTACTACTAGTCCATTTACTTCATATGTAAGGATTAAAAAATAGACCAACAAATCTCCCGGCAACATTCAGAATCATAATCTGCAGATCTTAATTAAGTTCAAAACTTTATAGAATGCGGTCATTGTGCACACTGAACTCCATACAGCCTCCGCTCTAAGTAATATTTAGATTTTTTAGCTCACAAAGAGGTTTAAAGGTTACTTTGACATGATAACCATAAGAAAAAAAAGAAAAAAAAACAGATACTTCTCTATCTTCTCTATGTTTTATATGTCAAAGGACTGTTATCACTACCACCTTCTTTCAAAATGAACCCTAACCTATCTCAAGAAAATGGTTTTTAAGAAATTTCAACCTTAGCTCTCAAGAAATAAAAAATAAAATTACCTGTCATATTCAAAGCATCTTCAAACGGCACCCTCAGCCCTTTAGCCGTCATTTTAACACAATTTTTCACTTACACTGAACAAAATAGTTTAATGTATAACATATAATATATATTAATATAACATGTATTATACTATCGTTATATAAAGTTTATAATGACATAACCTCACTAGAGGCAACGACTAACTGCGTCTATTATATGTGTCAGCTGTAATTTATAATAAAACAAAAGATGGAGGCAAGCGGCTTTTTCAGTTAATGTTGGGTTCTGTATACAGATTACAGAGAAAGATGTATACATTCATATACAGGGTGGAATTTTATAATGCCACCTAAAGGGTAAGTAGTAATACTTAAGCTAGAAATTTTAGTCAAAGAAATGTTTTCTTTATTTTTGAAAAGGGAGAAAACTGCATTCGAAGGTTTTTAAAATTCGCTTGCCGCACACGGTAATCGAACCGACTAAAATCTGTAAAAGTTGCACCCTGTACATTTATTGCATCGATTGTTAGGGTCAATAAGGATGAAATCTTTCTACCAAACTTCATTTTATTGAAAGGAAAACAATGAACGATCGATGCAATAAAAGTACAAGGTGCAAACTTTGACAGATTTTAGTCGTTTCCATTACCGTGTGAGGCAAGCTAATTATTAAAAATCATTAAATGCAGTTTTGTTCTTTTCAAAAAAGTTTTCTTTGAGTAAAATTTTCTATCTTAAACTGTCAAACACCAAGCGGTCACCGGTGACCGCAACCTATTGTTCTATAATTGTGTCTATAATGACGGTACTTGACGAGTTAAGTAGGTAATATGAGTACTTCCCCTTCAGGTGGCATTACAAAATTCCACCCTGTATACATATAGATTTCTATATGCAAATTACTTACAC